TCTATAACATCAATACTTAAATAATACGTCTTTGTCGATTGTTTTACAAGAGTATAATACGAAACTTGGCTGCTGACTCAAAATGATTATTTGATCACGGGTAAATATAATCACTAGCTTGTTATTTAACATAGTCTCTTTTAGGGGTCAAAAAAAGCTTGGGCCACGCCCAGATCGGTCTCCCTTAGGGGTTTAATTCAAAATTTCCGACAAACAACCCCACCCCTTTCATATGCGGAGGCCCCCCCCCCCCGGGAAGTGGGCACTACTGAGAGCTGCTTCTCGCCTTAACAGCCTGCCATACAGAGCAAGCTTACAGATATTACGTCAAACAATGAACTGTTTTAAGGTGATTCATTTGTTTTGCACGGCGCAAACCATGTGCATCAAAGGTGGCGGGGATTTTCGCCGGCCGTTTGAAGAGATATTATTAATAACTGAGGGAGCTTTGGTAGTGTAAAGGGTTGTGATGGCCATAATGATAACTTATCCCGGTTAAAAGGGCGTTGTTTTTGAAACTCGCCTCATTTTCTCACGTTAAAAGGTCATGTCTCCCTCATCCTCTGCACAATGTTAAAAATATAATTTTGTATTGTGAATGCATGGCTCAACGTTATATGTGGGGGTGGGAGAAGAGATTGAGCATATCAGTGCGGTTTTAAAAAGCCTTTCAAATGCAAATCTGTCCCCTGACTTTTCTGAAATAGCTTTTTTGTTAAAACCTTGTTTCCATCCAATAGAGGAGGTTGGCTATGTCATGTTTCAGTTGTAAACTTTTTTGCGAACTTTGATGGATTTACATATAATGCAGAATGCATATAAACGCCACTAACAGGTTTGATTTTCACTGCTTTAAAAATTTCACTATTCCTCTTGCGAAACATTTTGGATTTTGATTGGTTCTGTTGCGAGATGAGGTCTGGGACCGAGAAATGATGTTCTAACAACTTGCAAAGCGATCACCTTTCGTGGTGGTCAGCGGATAATTAAAGTAGTTTTTATCGTAGTTTTAGAAGCAAGAAGTGGAAAGTTAGACGGCCTATCGTTAAGCCAAAGTGAAAACAAGGGTTTGGGTGAGGTGCTTAGTCTCGCGGGCTCATAAAACTTCGTCTCGATCATTTTTATTTAACGATTTTCTCTCAAAACCGTTGATCAATGGTTTTTGACGTAATGCGCATGATCAGTACACAAATCCGCTCGCAAGACCCTTCCTGATAGCTTTGCAAGTTGTAAGAACATCGTTTGGATTTCTTTCAGAGGGATTTCGTTTAAGAGAATGTATGAGAAGTAGCTCCCCACCCCCCTCCCCTTCCTTGTGTTTTTGATGAAACCATAAAATTGGAGCACGTTGATAAGCAGTCTTAAGAAGTTTGTCCAGTGGCATACAGCACTACACTCTTGAGAGGAAAAGAAAAAATAGTTGATGAAGATCATGCATCAAGTTTATTGAAACATGTTGATGATTTACTAGATTGCATAGATTTTGCCTCCTCAATACAGTCAAAAACTTAAGATTTTTTAAAATGTATTTGAATTGTTATCATGCAAAGTCATCGCTTAATGATCAAGACATCTTAAGCAAGAACAATATTCGTGTTCATGTACTTTATGTCTATGTGCTGGACCTTTAGTACCTGGCTTAACACAATGAAGTTCAACATCAACGGGTTTTTTCTTGATGGGACTACAACACTCGCATGATTTGGAATTGTACGTTTGTTCAGAAAGACATGTTTCCGCGCATGTATTTAATTTCACATATCTGGTCTGGCAGCCAACAACTCTTACTGCAATTGTGGTAGTAAATAGCTTGCACAATTCCTTGTGTTTTCCAAAATATCTCACAGCTTTAAGTACGTGGCAGGCTGCTAAGACGAGATGCACTGCAATCAGGACGTGAAATGTCGTCATGCTTCTGCGAAAAAAAAATAAGGCAAATTTTTAAACCCGTATTAGCGGTCACCA